ATGGGAGAATGTAAAAACAACATGAAGGTTCTTTACTTTCTCAATTTCGGTTCGTTTTTATTTATTCAAGAAAAATAAAGAATTTTAGTGTTTTCAATTCGATCGTTTCTCGCGCCATAATTCAAGGTCTTTATTTCTGTATATATTCTCTTCACTAATGTACTGAAAAAGAAAAAAGAATTTTTAATATTAATTTAAAAAATCAAGGTTTGGTACATTTTTGAACAAAAGTAATATTTAATATTTTTCGTTAAATATTTAAAAATTTCGTTAAATTAAAAATGTTCGTAATTTTGTTTTCGTGACTTCGAAAATTGGTAAATTTCTTTTTTCATGATTTTGTAAAAGTATGCAAAAATACGTTTTTGCCAAAAGTTTGCAAGTTCAATAAACGATGAGTTTTCTATAGAGGCTTATATCGATTATCTCCTCGTTTATGTAGAAAAAGAGGGTCATGTTCTGATCAATAAAATATGTAAACAGTGTATAGTTCCTGGATACGGGATCATAGTTTGTGACACTATTTTTATATTCCTATCTTCTCTTATCAATTTTTCTGTGAGTGGGGAATTAATATTTCAATTTGTTTTAAGTTTAGAGGTGTTTTTTTGGTAGTTTATAGCTCTTTTGTTTGCTAATTAGATATCGATAAAAGTGAGAGAGAGAGAAAAAAAATTTAAAGTCGTCACCGAATTGTCATAAAAATTTTCCTGCCCTCGACACTACAAAGTCGACACCGGCCTCGAGTTTCCACGATCTCGTCATTACGCTCTGCCTCCAAGGTGCTCGCGCTCGTCGGCCCTGATAAAGTCGTATGGTTCCCTCTGTTAACTAAAGAAACTGACGCTAATATCTGTTTAGTGCGTAGAAGCGAGCGTATAAGAAATAGAAAGAAAAAATCATTCATTATATCACTTGCGCTCGTTAGAAATTCAAGTATAGCTTTCAGTTCGGTTTTCATTTTCATTTCACCCGCATCTCTTTTCTTTGCTTGTACACGGAAATTAAATTGCAGAAAAATGGAATAATAATTAAAAATTAACCAAAGTATCGTAAGTGAAAATATTAAATTTAACTTTCTTTGAAATTTAATTGACTTCTGAGGAGTTTAATTAAGATTATTATGAATCAGGTTTTAATATTTTATCGTGGACGAATTTGCTTTTTTTCTACGTGTGGTTTGTAGATGAGAGAGCTGTCACTTGTCTAGGCATTTAAAGAGCCGCATGCTGTGATATAAAATATGTGTATAACATATGTTCTGTTATTGCTTCACTTTAAGATTGTGATCGAGGTCATGTTTAGACTCTTGTTTTTGTATCAGTAGTTAGTTGTCTGGTCAATTCACTTTAGTTTTATCTTCAAAACGTGTAACCTCAAAATTGTTTTCATTAATATTTTTTTCTTTCGGAAATACCTTTTTAAATTGCTAAAATTGTTTATTGTTTGCTTATAACATTATTTTCGTTATATTGTACAATTTTTAAATGTTTGTTTTCAAATACATTGCTCAAACGTAATATTTTTCAACTAGTTTGAAAAGTGTCCAAAATTGAAATATAGATATTTTTGATTCAATTAAATGTTTTAAATTCATACTTTTGATTGATTTTGATTTTCAAAAAGTAAGGTTTTATTTTTATCTTCCTTTTTCAAAAAAAAAAATATATTCTTGCAAGTGAAAGTCAAAGTACAATTATAATTTTAAATTACCTTGTAAACTTATTCAAAATGAGTCATAATCTATTCTGCGTCTGAAATCAGTTTTCGAGGTTAATTTAAACCAAACAAAGACTGCTTAAACAACAATATATTTTGCTTGAAAGAAAAAAATATTGAAAACAATTATTGATAAGGCAATATTTATTTAGCAGATCATTTAAAATTTTCCAATATATGTTTTCGTACTTGAAAATTGGATAAATTTTTGTTTTCGAAAATAAGTCCGAATTGTAGATCAAATGAAAAATTTGGTTCTTTTTAAAATAGTTTAAAAATTAGCTATAAATTAGAGTTTTTCTACAGATATCAAATTGAGACAAAAAACGAATCAAAATTGATGCTTCGCAACACTTTTGATTCCTTTTTTTTCTCAATTTGATATCTGTAGAAAAACTGTGAGTTATTCAAATACTGATAATTGATAGTAGTTTCAATAACTAAAACTATTTTTTAATTGTAGTTTGAGTTATTTTAAGTTTCTTGTTTGAATTTATTCTGCTTTGAATCATTAAATCTCAATCGATTCTTATTTCAATTAATATTGACAGTGTCAATCTGTTCTTTTCTTAATTATTTTAAGTCTCAGTCGATTCTTGCCTTAATTATTTGAAGTCTCAGTCGTTTCTCGTCTTAATTATTGGAAGTCTCAATCTGTTCTTATTTCACTTATTGTTAGCGTCAATCGATTGTATAGTTTACTTTCTACTCGATGATATTCTCGATAATCCTATCAAATTATTATTAAATCAGAATCGATAGTAGTTTCAGTTATGTTAACGATTATTCAATAGTAGTTTCAATTTTTATTGCTCATATAAAAAACTAAAAATAAACTATTGTTTATTTTTAGTTACTGTACTCCTTAGTGCAGTGTAATTTTAGTTATTAAAATTCTTAGTCATAATTTTAGTTACTGTAACTCTTGATTAAAAAAATTCGATGTAGCTTTTATCAATACGAACACAGTTTTCTAGAAAGTATCAAATTGATAGCAAAGTATCCATTGTCGTATCAAATTGATACCAAAGTATCCACTGTGGTATCAAACTGATACCAAAAATTTGGACCAATTTATGGATCTAGACTTTTGGTATCAATTTGTTGCCATTTGATTGCTATTTGATACTATCAAGTTAATAGTAAAGGTAAAATAATTACGCGATTTTTATCATTTGCCTACTTTTGTGCAAATTTTTTCTCTAGTATTTAGACAAATAGAAAAGTTTATCATAGGAAAAAGTGGGCCCAAGATTAAAAAGTAATGTGTAGGCAATTGAATGAAATTTTTGAGATTTTCTTCCTCGTCGAGAAATTCGTTAGCGAATCTTAACAATAGTTTAGTAGAAGAGTTGTGCATATAGAGAGTATTACACAGACACCTAGACTGCAGTTCGTCTACTGCGTGGTATCGACCTGCACGATTCTTGCGCTTCGAGCTTGCTCTAAGAGACTAAGGTTATGGTTCTAGGAGTGCATTAACCCTTGAGAGCATACTAAGTATAGAGTCAACAGCTAGTGTACAGGCTATGTTACAGTGAGTAATCGCGTTGTTGCGAGGAGCAGAGCAAGAGAGCGAGAGAGATATAGAAAGGGAGAGGAGAGGAGAGAGGGAGGGAATAGAATCTCTTGAAGCAGAGGAGAAAGGGGATATCGAGTTTTTGGATCAGGGGAAAGGAGGAACAAGGGAAATGAGAGACTTTCTCCGTAGAGCGAAAGTGAGAGGGCCTCGGACCACGTACCCGCCCCTGGTGCCCCCTCATTCACCCCACGATTTGCTTTCACCGCAATGGCGATGCAGTTTTGCGACAAAAAGTAAAAAAAAAGGAAAAAAGAAGGAAAAAATTACTTGAAAAGTAATAGTTGCTCTTAAAAAAATCAGTTCTCATGCCAACTATAAATTTGTCAGTCGATTAGTATAATCAGATATTAATTGCTTCGATTATTCCACTGCCATTTGTCCACCCATTTTAATTAATTGTGTAACTAGTCTCTAATCGATTTTAGAATTTAAATTGCGATTCTGGCTTTTTTATTCTAATTTTAGTTGTAACAGGCTCGAAGGTAGGACTTGGATTTTGCCTTTAGATTTACTAAACATTACTGAAGTTAGTAAAGTAACTTTCAGTGTTTTATATAGTAAAACTTAAGCTCTGGAAATAAATTTTAGTAAACGGAAGTAAACTTTACTTTGGACGTATAGTAAAATTTACTCCAAAAATGATTGATAGAATAAAAAAAATTGATAAAAAAGGGTAGAACTTTCAGGCAGTTTAACTTTTTCTACAAAAATTGTAAAGTAACTTTTACTATTTCTGATTCTAGTAGTTTTTTCAAAGTGCTAACGATTTTAAGTTATATTGATTCGAACCTATCAATTTTTAGTTAATGGCGCAATCAATTAAAAGTTCCGATAATTAAAAGTTTCAATAACTATGAGTTCCAGTAACTAAAAAGTAAAAATTGTTATAGTTTACAATAATTACAACTACAATTGTACAAATAATTGAAACTTTGATTTTTCTATTATTAAAATAATAAAAATTTCAAAACAAAATAATTTTGATAGTATCATTAGTCAATAATTGGAGATAGTTCAAGAATTATTAGTATTGCCTCTGATGATTATTCAAAGCAGATGAATAGAATATTATATTTATAAAGTTACATAATACTGTTGACCTGATCGTCTTTAATGAAAGCCAAAATTACGCACACGTGAATTGATTGCAGTTTTTAGTGTTTCTGTCAACTGAAAATGATTCTTTGAATTATAATTAGAAAGTTTGGCTTAGATACCAAACGTTATTTACTGCACAGTATATATACGCAAGTTCGACGACCTTTCATGGAAGAAAGAGACGTGAATCGAACCGCTTCGCTGGAAGCTCGCGTTCTCCAGAGAACACCAAAAGATTATAATGGCAAGGAACTTGAAAAGTTGTTTAGGAATTTTGTCAAAATAGAAAATTCGTTCAAGTTCAAATATTTTGTTTTTGCTAAATTCTATTAGCATTCGGTTATTTTTAGATTTTTCGGAAAAATATTCTTTTACTTTCTTTCTTTCTTTCGTTTACAAGAATTCAATATTTTTGAGATAGGTAGGAATATATTTGAATTTTTAAAAATAATACTGTAATTAAATACTGTATACCAGAAGTAATTATTTTTATTTTAATTACTAAATTTTTATTACTTTATTTTCAATTACTTTCTACAGAATTTTTCAAGTACTCTTTGTAATTATAGCATTAAACTTTTGGAAATTTATTTCTATCAAAATTGATTATGCAGGAGAATATTTGATAGTCAGAATATTTGATAGCCTAAAAGGATTTTGGTAATTAATAATACGAAAATTTCTTTTTCTTTTTGATTGTATTCTTCGATAAAAAAACTGATATATTAAAATACTGAAGCTTTTGACAGGTGGACAATTAATTTAGTTTGACAATTATCGCAACCTGCTCTCCTCTCACTAATAATTGTGGCACGTGCCTTTCCAATGTTTCCGTTTTCTTCGTCGTTTTTTGTACTATCACTTTTGGAACACTTTCGTCTTTTTCCACTTCTTCATTCGCCGAACCTGTAACAAAAAAATAAGACGAATTAACTAATTAAAAAGCTAATTAACGAAAAGAAAAATAATTCAAAATTAAAATAATTTACGAAGGGAAATAATTACAAAAGAAGTAGATATTCTTCTTGAAAGAAGGGATCATTTTTCATGTATAAATAGGAAAAATATTTAATATTGCCTCGTTATAGAATAAAGTGTAGAAAGGAATAAAATTTGGCATTAATTTATGTTTGGGAAAATTTTTCTTCTTCTTTTTTTTGACACTTTTGTTTACATATGATGGAAAGGATTTTTATAGGGTGAAAGGGGAAATATTGAGAGGGCGAAAAAAGAGGTCTTTGACCGCTTTTGGGGGTTGTTGAAGAAGTGAAAAAAAGTCGAAGAAGAAGAAGAAAGAGGAGGTGTAGGACACGTGTAGTACTAACAATCGATCCTGAGCTTCTCTTCAAGGTCGGTGGTTTGCCTCTGTCGACAGCGAATCAACGACCTCTCAGCCCCCGGAACTCAAAGTGCGTCACTAGGACAGCTATCCCTGAACTCCCCACGAACAAGAGCGCTCAAAATACCCTCTTTCTTTCAACACACACGCACAAATACAAACTCAAATGTATATATAGAGATTCACACACCAAGAAGCCATTCAGAGATGGAAAACTGTCGTATCCACTCTAGATCTTATCCTTTTGCAACTTCAAAAGCAGGTCAGGCTTCCAGACAATATTCTCCAGTGTCAAACTTTTTTTTTGAGCTTATTTCAAATTTTTGTTGGGTTCAATTTATTTTCGAGGTCTTTTTTCGTTTAACTATAAATTATTCGCGTTTTTAGAGAGTTGGAAATTTTTGTTTTTTTCTCGATAGTCTTCATCGACTGTAGTTTTAACTACCGTGACTCTTAGACAAATGTACAATTTATTATCATGATTCTAAGTCTACTTTAGTCTACTTTTTTTAGTCCATGAAATTTTCGTTATTTTAACCCTCGCAGGTTTAATTATCGTAACTTATAATGAACGGCAGTTTTAGTTATTGTAACTCATAGTCGATTACATTATTTATTGTAACTGCAAATTCTTGAGCTTTAAATTTAGAGTTGAATCAATAGTTACGGTTACTGTGATTTATGTCCATCAATAATAATTATTGATTATAATAAAATGAAAATAATTATTACTATTCATATAATTCTACAACTGACTGTAAATTTTAACTTTGAGTGTTAAAAATTATTCTCTCCCAAGAAAGGTACCTACAAAATTTAAGGTTATGTTTTTAATTGTCAAAGTAAAAATACAGAAAAAGAGTCAATTACTATTAAAAATGATTGATGTTCAAGCATTCTACATCCAAAATATTCAATAAAATCTGGTTTCAAATTTATATAAATAAAAATTAACTTTTAATCAAGATGAATCTAACACAAACATAACCTATAATTTGAATCAAATAAATTTTTTTCCAGTGTACGTAAAATAATTGAAACTAACAGGGTTAAAATTATGACTTATAAATTATTTAATGAATAATTTTTAAAATTTTCATAAACACTAAATTGATAGAAGAATTTTAGTTAAAAATACTAAAAAAATTGAATTTTCGAAAAGTTACAAATGATTCCAGAAATTCAATTATTTTCAAAAGTTATAAAAATTCTTCACAGAATTTCAATTATGTTCAAAATATTTTGAAAATTTCTCGTCAAAATTTCAATTATCTTTATAAATAATAAAATTTTTCTTCGAAATTCAATTATTTTAGAAAAATTTTAATAAAATTCTGGGGAAAATGTTAATTATTTTCATAAAAAAATCTCATCGCAGGATTTTAATTATTTTTGATACAATATTTTAATCGAATTCCTCTAAATATGTAATTATTCTTAAAAACTTTATTAAAATTTGTCAAAAGAATTCAATTATTTAAAAATTTGTTGATAAAATTCTTTATGAGATAATTTTATTACATTCTTTGTAAATAATTGAATTCTTTTGAGAAATTTTACTACTTTTAAAAATAATTGAATTCTTGCGAAGAATTTTATTAGGATTTTTGTAAATAATTAAATATTTTTTGAAAAATTTTATGGTAATTTAAATTCTAATTCTACAATAAAATTGTAGAAATGTCAGGAAAAAGTCAGGAAAAAAAATTAAATATTTGTGGCAGTTTGAGTATTATTTGAGACTATACTTTGAACTCTAAAGTTCCTACTTTGTACCGAAGAATTTTCTAAAATGTCTACACTAATAATAAGAATATTATTAATAATACATAATTTCAAGTTGTTTCCTAGAAGAAAGTAATTATATATTTGCAATCCTAGTCTGTATTTATATAAATGCATACGTGTGTGTGTTGTGTGTAATTGGAGATGACTTTTTTTCGCAACGTTTAAAGAGCAATGGAACGAGTGTAGCCGGAAATAAAAAAGTGAGTGCGAAAGATCGGGGTTGGAAAAGAGTGGAAAAAGAAAGCCACGTGGATCTTGTATCGAACGTGAAACCATTACGTAGTCAAGGTCGGTCCTTGCCCTTTGGTTCGAAAGACCCTTAAGGCACTTTTCGTAATATTACACCCTTTTGCCACGCGTCCCTTTTTTCTGTCTTTGTAAATACGGGGAAAATTATTTATTCTTTCTTCTTTTTTTTGTTTGTTTGTTAAAATTACGGGGGAAAAAATTGTTGCCTGCGATTAAATACTTAGTCAAAATTCGTTTTCAATTATTCAATCAGATATTCGATATAATTAAATTTTTTTCTTGGGAAAATAAAATATAATAAATATAATATAAAGATTGGAATCGTAATAATAGATATTAAACAATTATTTATTTTTGATAACTATTGTTGATTATATTTATTAATTATTTAATATAATAATAATTTTAGTAGAAATAGAATAGTAGAATAGTTTTTAGTAATAAAATAATAATTAATAATTATGAATTCATTTTGGTCGAAGTGGAAAGATTTGAAAAAAAGGATTTGCTATTAAGTAAAGTTGGTGGAAAATATAAGTGATATACTTTTTTATGCGGGGAACATAATAGTTTAGAATTGTTTTTCTTTTTTTTGTTCGGCTTCAACTCGTCCCTTTAGTTTGTGGTTTGTCCTGCGTCTGGAACGAAGCGGCGTGTAGGATTATGACAAGAAATAAACGAAATCGGACCCCCGTTTTGTCGACGACACCGTTTTCAAGTAGAGCGTACGAGCGTGTTATATGAGTCAAGGTCGGACCTTGCGGTGCTCTTAACAGGCCTTTTAAAAGGCGTTACAGTAGATTATCAACGGATAATTGACTTACCGATTTTTTGGCTTACACACACGCACTGTGTACATATTTAAATAAAATTCTTCACTTTTAAGAGACGTTCTCAGTAATTGAATTTCTCTTTCAGGGTTGACACGCTTTTGCTCTTTTCAAATTCCCTCACTTTTCCAGGTTGAAAAACACAATTTTTCCAGGTTTTTAAAACGAAAATTATTCGAAATATCAATAACTTTATTTTTTAATAAATATTTAATTATTTTTTTATAGAGAAATTAACATATTCAAAAATTTGAATTTCAATAAAAAAAGTATTATTATAAAACTTGTTACTTTGTTACTATAACTTCTTCAAAAATTATTTTCATCATTACGATTATTCATTTTTAGAATTTTCAACTAAAATTCTTCAATTTGTTCTTAGTAATTTTTGAAAAAGTTCTTTGTGAATTTTCAAATTCTTTTGTTTACAATTTAATTTTACGAAATTTCGATTATTCTGACATTCTTCAATTAAATATATTAGAAATAAACAATTTCAAATAATTAAAAAAACTTCCATTCAACTTATTGAGAAAAATTAATTGTATTGAATTCTTAATTAAAAGTATGAAAAGTTTAAATTTTCAAAGATTTTAATTTGAAATTCATTTTTAAATCAATATTTATTAGAAAATTCCATGAGAATTCAATTATTTAACAAAAAAATAAATATTTTATTAAACAATTTTTAAGAATAATTTCATTTCTTGAGAAATTTGATGAAAATTATATTAAAAATAATTAAAATTCTGCCAAGAATTTTATTGAAATTTTTGAAAATAATTGAATTTCGGAGAAAAATTTTATTATTTGTAAAGATAATTGCAGTTTTGACGAGAATGTTTGTAAATTTTTTAACATAATTGAATTTCTTGCGAAGAATTGTATAACTTTTGAAAATAATTTAATTCTTGAGACGAATTTTATTATTTTTATATTATATTATTTTTTAATTCATAAAAATAATTGAAATTCGGGGAAGAATTTTATTATTTATAAAAATAATTGAATACTTGGAAAGAACTTTGTTAAATCTTTTTAAATAATTGATATTTTTCGAAAAATTTTATGAAATTTTGTATTTTAAATAATTGAATTCTCGTGAAAATTTTATTACTTATGAAAATAATTGAATTATTTTAAAGAAATTTATTAATAATTTTGTAAATAATTGAATTCTCTTGACAAATTCGAATAAATTTTTTAAGAATAATTTCGTTTCTTGAGAAATTTGATGAAAATTGTATCAAAAATAATTGAAATTTTGCCAAGAATTTTATTAAAATTTTTGAAAATAATTGAATTTCTTTGATAAATTTTAATAAAGTTTTTAAGAATATTTACATTTTTCGTGGAATTCCATTAAAATTGTATAAAAAATAATTGAAACTCATCATTTGTTTTTATGATTTATGAAATTAATTGAATCCCTGCGTAAAAAATGTTATTATTCATGAAAATAATTGAATAATAATTTATTAAAATAATTTGTAAATATTTGAATTCCTGTGAATTTTTTATTATTTATAAAAATAAAGAAATGTTTGCGAGGAATTTTGTTAAAATTTTGTTTAACTAATTGAATTCTTTTAGGAATTTTTATTAAAATAGTAGATATTAAAAATCATTGAATTGAGGAAAGTTTTTGAAAATAATTGTCAAAATAAGTTTCAACCCTGTCTTAACTTGAAATTAAATTA